CCATTCTCCCAATAAAACATGATGAATGGGATGGATATGCAGATATTTGTGAGTGGGGCTTGTTATCACATATAGGTATTAAGTTAAAATCTACCTTTGGAAGGTTTGTATGTGAACCACCTATTCAAGGTAAACAACTGTATTTACTCTAAGAGAAAGGCTTTATATCTCTCAAAGCACTTGAGCAAATCAGGAAACAATACTCTTAAAATTTTTTAAATTTTGTTCCATATTTGATGGTAGGATTGGAAATCTTCAGATATCGATTTTACTCATTCATTTGTATGAAATTATGAGTACAGCATCAATTTAGGCTTAACTTCATTATAACTATCTACCACTTTCAGTTATCCCATTTGAACCTCATGTATAGGAAGAATCTTGAGGTCAAAAAATTTAAGTGCTACCGTTTAAGGTCATTGAGAGTAATAGATGGAAATAGGATTAAAACCTCAGTATCTGGGGGCGCCTGGGTGGCTTAGTCAGTTAAGCGTCCGACTTTCGCTTAGGTCATGATCTCGCGGTTCGTGGGTTCAGGCCCCGCGTCGGGCTCTGTGCTGACTGCCAGCTCAGAGCCTGGAGCCTGTTTCAGTCTGTGACTCCCTCTCTCTCTGACCCTCCCCTGCTCACGCTGTCTCTCTCTCTCTCCTAGAAATAAATAAAACATTTAAAAAACAAAAAAACAAAAAACCTCAGTATCTGACTCCAGAATCCACAGTCTAGCCCTTAGAACTGGGGTTTCAGTGACTCACAGAAATAAACAGGTGTATAGGTATTCATGTTTGAATTATAAGTTTTATAAAATAATGCTTGTCCTTATTGTATATAAATCACTATTATTTTAAAATGGTGTATATATTCAAGCTAGCTATGACTCATAGCTAGATTGATTTCACAACCAATGGATCACAACCCACAAATGGCTATTCCCATTTATTACACTTTGGAAAGCTGTCACAGGGTCCTTTATGGAAGGTTTGTCTCATGAAATCTCTATAGTGGCACAGGGTCCCATGCTCAGAGGAGCCCTTGATTTAATGCTCTGACGTCATTTTGAAATTCTTAATAATTTTATCTCTGAACATGTGTTTTGGAAGTGAAGTCAAACGGGACAATAGAATATGAACTTGAGCAGAGATACATGAACTCTGCATGTCTGCTCTTTCTTGCCACCCATTCACATCCAGCATTCCAAGTGCCCTATGAGCACAGAATTCTGGTGGTCACACAACCCCTCTGGGCATTCAGCAAGACTCAAAGTGAGTACAAGGTAAGTGTGCTATGCCTATGACTAAGTAGGGGTGTTCACAGCCTTGAGAAACCGTGCTCTCAATTTAAACCTGAATTTGCTTCAAATGGGAAACAAGGCAGTGACACAAATTCTGAAGTGGTCTAATCGTATCCTTTCTTACATATATTACTTCCCTGTATAAGCCAACCACTTAGGCTGAAAAGGACGATATAGAAAGAAAGGGAAAGATGTGGCAACCCAGAGTTCCTTTTCCTTTCAGTCCTTCCTTACTCATCAGTGAGACAAAGAGAGAGTGTTGGTAGAAAGTATGTGTGTCAAGAAATGGAATAAAACGGTTGATGTAGTTTTGTGCAGCATTCCAATGCTCTGGTAAGAATGAAATATATATGCATGTGTTAGTTATGAAATACAAATCATGTAAATTTGGTGATTCTGCATATGAGTTAAAGCCTATTATATTTACGTTTAAAGATCATTGCACCGAAGGTGACTGATAAATTCATGCAAATAATTTAAATTTTCTTAAAATGACAATAGCCAGGACAAGTCGAGACTAGGAGACCAGCAAAGAAAAATGTTTTTAGTGCCTTAAAAGACATGGTTTTCCAATATGGGCCTGGCATTTTCATTTTGCCCTGGGCACTGAAAAATTATGTTGCTGGTTACAGTGGGTTGGGTGGTGGTCCCCCAAATGGCATATTTATTCCTAATCTCTGGACCCTGTGAATATACCCTTCTGTGGCCAAAGGGTGAATATTATTTTGTATGGCAAGAGATGTGATGAAGTTAAGGATCTTGAGAGGAGGAGCTTGTGTGGGATTATCTAGGTGGGCCATAAATGCAATCATGTGTATCCTTAGAAGGCAGATACACAGAGAAGAGGAAGAAGCAGTATAACCTTAGGGGAAGAGGTTGGAATGATGTGGCCACAAGCCTCAGGCCATCAGAAGCCAAAGACAAATGGTGTAGAGTCTCCCCTAGAGCCTTGGCATGGAGCACAGCCTGGCAGGCACTATGGTTACAGACTTCTTGCCTCTAAAACTGTGAGAGAAAGAAGTTTTGTGGTTTTAAGCCACCCTGTTTATGGTAATTTATCACAGAGCCCTAGGAAACTAATACCCAGGCTGTTTCATTGAGTCCCTTTTCTCAAACAAGACATGTGGGCCTTGCTCTAGAGAAACTCGTCCATGACAGCGGCCCATGGAGAGCTCTGCCTTCTCCCAACGGAGTGTACTTCATCATCCCTAACCATGAGGATGGTAGCGTCTGATCTTTCACACACTAGTTTTGCTCCCTTCTCTTGGGTCTGGGCTTTTCATTTCCCCTTGGAAATGAAGAGCATATCTTAATGTCCATACCCTGTAGGCTGTCTTGAACAATGCTGGTTTCATAGAAAATTCTCAGTTGATTCCTGTTGATTGACTTGAAGTACTAATGAGGTTTTATTTTTTTTTTTCTATTTAACATTCAGAGAACTGATACCAGAGAACTAATCTCTCATCTTTATTTGAAACACAGAAACCTTTAGTATTGAATCTTAGGCAAATATACCCGAACAAAGCGATCCTTATACAGAAACCTAAAAGTGATTTAAATCCAAAAGGTTTAATAGCCTTTACTTTCATTACTGAAGAAGGCCAGTCCCAAGTTTCATGAGTACCAGAGGCTTTCCTTTTCTTCTTGTTTTCTAATGTTTATTTTTTTAATTTTGAGACAGAGTATGAGTGGGGGAGGGGCAGAGAGAGAGGGAGACAGAGAATCTGAAGTAATCTCCAGACCCTGAGCTGTCAGCAGAGCCCAATTTGGGGCTCAAATCCACAAACTATGAGATCATGACCTGAGCCCGAGTTGGATGCTTAACCAACTGAGCCATCCAGGTGCCCCTGGAGGTCTTCCTTCTATGTCAGATAGTGCTGCTCTGATTACACATGGTACAACTTAAGGCTAATAGGGGAGACATCTTGGGACAAGGATTTTCTATATTTTTTTGATTAAAACTTGGAATGGAGTGGTCTACATAGCAGATCCAGTACACAAGTCTTGTTTATAGGCTATATGAACCTTAATTTAAGCTTTATTTTAATTTGTGGGCTTTAATTTCTTTTAATTTTAGAAGATGGCCCATATTAAATTTAGTTCAGCAAATATTTACTATCTTCCCTAGAAGAAGCCCCTACTAGTAAGCTGTGGGATCTACAAAAGTGACTAAGACACAGTTCTTATCCTGAAGGGACAGACTCTCTAGTAAGGTCAAGCAATTCCATAAATAACTTCAACCTGGTAACTAAGTCTATTAAAATATGTGCACACACACACATACGCATACATACTCATGTATACACATACCCATGCATGCTGAAGACTTGCCAAAGAAGAGATTAATTAGTTCTGAGAGGCATGGCCGGGGGTGGGTTCACTAGAGACTGTGACATTTGGACCACCTCTCAAAGAATAGGAATTTTGTTTCCAGCCTGATAATTTTGAGAGAAGAATATTCTAGGAAGAGGCTCTGCAAAAGCCAGGAGAGTATAAGTACTGTGGTGGCTACAGGGCTCTGCTAGTATATCGATAGTGTTTCTGGAGGGGATGTGTGTGAGAAGATGTGGTAGGAGATATGACTTGAAAAGGTGTTCGAACTCAATCACTAGGAGACTCACACATCAGGCTAAGGTCACCCTATATCCTGTGGGATGTGAGAGACTTTGCAGGTTTTTGAGCAAAGGAAATATGTAACCCAACCTTGTGTCATGTTAATGAGGTGTAGATTGAAGAGATACAAGTTCAGTTGCAGACAGAGCTATTACAAAGGTCTAAGGAAGAGATTATAACAGCATGGATTTGGGAAGTAGCAAGAGAAATAGAACGGAAGAGAGAGAGTTGTTTAAGAGAGAACTAAAATGTAGAATTAACAGGATTTAGTGACTGATGGGATATGAGCAGAAAAAAGAGTTAAAAATGAGCCCGGTCAAAGTGGCCTGGTGCAGGGAGGATTAAATGAAGTATATAAGGAAACACAGGAGAAGCTGCAGTTCTGGAAGGAAACTCTCCGGAAGAATTATAGGTTTAAGATATGGGAGTTTTGAATCGCCAACAAATACTTTGAATTGGAGCTCAGGAGATATATAATTGAAAGTCATCGGTGTGAGACTGTGTTTAAAGCCACAGAGTGGATGAGTGCCCAGAAAGAAAGTACTGAGTGAGAGGAAAGAAAGGGAAGAAAGGAGTTCTGTGGCAGAACATTAACCCTGGCATCCCTGAACCAAAATAATCCTGAAATTCAGAGGGGAGAGAAAAGTGGTTGGTCTTTTTTTAAGGTCAGGTTTATTGAAGTACCAATTTATGAAGTAAAATTCACCCTTCTTGGTATATATAGTCCTGTGACTTTTGACAAATACGTACAGTAGTCTAATTACACCAGAAGCAAGATGTGGAGCATTTCTATTTCTACCCCCAAACTCCTGAATTCCCCTAGTAGTTAATCTCTCCCCACACCCATGCTCCTGGGCAATAACCAGTTTTCTAACCCTATATGTTTACTTTTCTGTCTAGATTCTGACAGATTCTGATCTGTCTAGATTCATATAGTCTATAGCCATTTGAGTTTGATTTCCTTTAAGTGTAACATACTTGAGATTCATCCAAATTATGATGAGTATCAATAGTCATTTTTTATTGATAAGCAGTATTCCATCATGTGGAATTCCATCTGTTTATCCATTAACCAGTCAAATGACCAGTCAAAAACTGGTCATTTCCAGTTTTTGTTTATTATGGAAAAAAGAGCCATTGTAAATGTTTGGATGCAGATTTTTGTGGAAAACATAAATTTTCATTTCTCTTGGGTAAACAGTAAAGAGTGGGATTACTGGGTAGTATGGCAGGTGTATATTTAACTTTACAAGAAACTGTCAAACGGGTTCCAAATTGGCTATACTATTTTGCCTTCCCATCTGCAGTGAGTGAGAATTCTACTCCTCTGCCTTCTTGCCGGTGCTTGGTATTGTTGTTGCTGTCCGTTAGGTGTGGGTCTCATCTCAGTGCAGTCAAGCTTTTGTGCATGTTGGAACATGTGCACTCAGGTAGGAAAGGTGTCCCTAACTCCATCAGGTTCTCAAGGGTCCATAAACCTGAACCTGAAGGTAAAACATCATTGAATTGCAAACTTGGAGAATAATGAGGAGTCAGGAAAGCACGCAGGGAAGATTGGAGAAGAGTTTTAGAATGTAGGGCTTGCAACGCCAAGGAGAGAAGAAAGCTTAAAAGGTGAACAAAGGAAAGGACGCTGTCATCAGCAAGGGAAAGTTCCTGATGATCTTGGAGAAGCCAGTTCAGTGGAGTGGGAGGGAGGAGAAGTGAAACATAGGAGTGTGCTGGTTTGAAGAACAAATGAAAAGTAAGGTAATAGACGCAGCATATACAGATCATTCCTCTATCATAATAAAGAAAATTCCAAATCAATTCCTGTTGCTAGAAAAATCACTTATAGGAGCCCTCGGGGAGGGAATTTTGATAACAGTGAACAATGTTACTGGTATCAACACTGCCTATTTTTTAAGACATGTGGTTCTTTAAAGTGCATTGGATTTTACGGGCATTTAATTCAAGTTTCCCTGAGAAGCAAATTCACTTTACCACAGATGCCACTGACTTGGCTGGAAAGAACTTTTGGGCACATAGAGTGTTGCTGTGGCCGTAAGAGCTTTCCCCAACTACATGTCCGAGGGTTTTACAACATGCAATAAGTGTGCTGTCAGGAAATTTTACAAGTCAGCTGACGCGTGCCACGGCGCCACAGTCATCCTACTTTCCCGGACTGCGAGCTGCTGTGTACGACCTCAGCTAAGCTCCCTGGGCATCTGCCCCCAGCACAGAAAAGATGAGCACACTGAAATAAGAAGGAAATCAGCATGTGGTCAGTTAGGATTCACCACTCCACTTTGTCTCTGATTACGAGAAAAGTTGTGGAAGGAGAGGAGACAGGGCTTTACTGAAATTCAAACACATGCATTTAGAGAAGTTTTCTTTGTCATGCGGGAAAACTTAACTGTAAAATTGAACTATTCCTGTGTCTTTTCTGTGTCTTCTTTGAACACATCAGAAAAACGAGGAAGCAGAAAAAACATTAAGTTGCACTATCTCCTACCATTTCTCCTCAGCCTGCCTGTCTCTCTCACACACATGCACACACACACACACACACCTTGCCTCCATAGCTTGAGGCACGCTACCTCAATTTCCCATCCTTCAGTGCTGTTGCTTGGCAGATAGATGGTTTTGAAGCTGTGAGTAGCTTGTCTCTCTTAGCTTGTCTTTTAGGGGGCTAGAATGAAGATAGCACAATAAAGCCATTAGAAGACTGGAAATCTTATCTAATGTCAGCCTCCTCCCCTTGTCTGAGATGCTAGATTCACAATTGCACTTGAAACTTTTACAAGTGAATGCTATTCCATAGAATAGACCATAGAATGGATGGCTACCGCAACTGTGGTTCTGTGAAAAGTACAAGGATGTGGAATAAAAGAGATGAGTTTGAGACATGGTTGAGTCACACACTAGCCACGTGACTGTGACCGGGCTACTAATTCCTTTTCTGTCTCAGGATTTCCATCAATAAGATGGAAATAAATAACTCCTAATTTATAATTTATCTTTTATTGGGCGTCCAAATAATGCTGTGAAAGCTCATACAAACTCTAGAGGGTTTGATAGTTACCAAGCATTGCTATTATCACTCTCTACAAACTGGAGATCATTGCGTCCACACGGTGTGCTAGGAAACTTGATGGAGTCTGACGGTCTTGATTTCCCTCTGCCTTTCCTCCCTGGGAGTTGCCATCAGAGCGAGGGAGTCTGTCTCCCTCTCCTCTCTGCTGTGCCTTCCTTCTGTCTTCTGGAAACACACTAACTCATCCTGAAAGCTATACTTCCTACGGTAGTGAGTTTACCATATATTCTGAGCTCCATAGCTCTCTCTCTTCTTTCCTTCACTTTCATATTATGAGAAAGGATAGTGTTTTCAAAGTAACCTCTTCCCTACACCAACAACTACTCCTTTCCCCATAGCATTGACTACTGTCAATTGGTGGGATACCCAGAAAATTTAGTGAAGCGCTGGTCCAAGTGAACCACCCCCCAGACTATGAGGTGAACTGTGCATCTAACTGGTATCTTTGAGGGCAGATAGTTATTTTCCTAAAATGGATTGTCTTTGCCTGACACCATTACTCCACAAACATTCCCAGGCTCTGCTCAACCATTTTCTGATCATGTTCTGTCTAGATTTACTTGATATCAAATAAGGCATAAAAAAAAGCTTATGCAAATGAAAGTTCTTATCATCTCAGAGTATTAGACAAAGCACTGTGTAGTCAGACTAGAAAACTTGTCAAGGTGTGTGATAGATAAGTTAGCTTATGAGAATTCTACCAGGACCTAAGATAATGTCAATGTGAATCATGTTTTTTTTCTGGCAGAATTGTGGCTACAAACTGCCCTTTGCCTGTCAGAATATATCCCACTCCTACTAATGTGAATGGTACGCTTGGGCCAAGGACAGACGTGGCCCTTTAGGATTTCAAAACTGGGTGAAGACTTTGAAATACTGGTTGAGCAGCTTGTCAGTATGTTGTCATCACATGACTGAGTTGGAGACTATCTGGTCTCTTTTTACTTCCAAGTACCCTTGAGGAATGATGCTTTTTTTGTTTGTATTCTCCGATCTGTAAGAGGTCAAAAAATAATGTAAAAAATGGAAAGTAGACAGGATGACTATATACAGAGAAATTGTGTTATCTTTGCCTTTTATGAGACAAAACTGGGTAAGTTCTCGTTCTTTTAAACCCTGAATTGATAAGTCTTATTTCTGTGTACAGAGTCTAGTAGATAAAACACATTGGTAAATATTACTTGAATGGGGACATCTGGGTGGCTCAGTCGGTTGAGTGTCTGACTTCGGCTCAGGTCATGATCTCACAGTTTGTGAGTTGGAGCCCTGCGTCAGGCTCTGTGCTGACAGCCAGCTCATAGCCTGGAGGCTGCTTCAGATTCTGTGTCTCCCTCTCCCTCTGACCCTCCCCTGCTCATGCTGTTTATCTCTCTCTCTCTCCCTCAGAAATAAATAAAACATTAAAAAAAATATTACTTGAGTGAAATGACATACGATATTGGCTTTTATAAGTGCCGGGAAGGTCTGTTCTGTGATACTCACTTGTAAACTTGGCCTTCTCCCCAGCTCTCTATTTATAAAACGATTCTTGTGCCATTCCAAATCCCAACTGGAGGGGAAAGAATGAATAGGCCCCTAAAAGAAGGTCCAGAGAGATGTGGATTCTTAACTTCTCTCAAATGTTTTACAATTATCTTTTCCCATTTTATCTGCTTATAAAATCTCCAGATTGCTCTGGGATTAGATTATTATGAGGTCAGCCTGTAGCCCTGGCAGAGAGCAGGCCCTCTAAGGGACCTCTTAGAGATGTGCTGTTGCAGTTCTTTTTACAGCAGACAAAAGGACCCAGAGAGGTGAGTGAGTTGGCCTTTCTTTGGTTATGGAGGTTCTGAAGACTTTTATTTTGGATAGTCAGTTACTATTTAACTAAAGGGGTGCTTTACTGTATTTTTATTCATACTCACTCCCCAGGAGGAAGGTGCCAGGATTTTCAGCTCCACAGCTAAACTATTCTGTGACAACCCCATCCACTAGTCAAGCTTTCTTTAAAGGCTATTTGCCAGCACAGTGGTCATCATAGGAGTTTGCTTGTGGGTGCTCTGCTGATCTGCATCCCTCCCACACGAAAGGGCAAATCCTCTCTGGCATTGCCAGAAAACAACAGGTTATTAATCAGATAAAAAATGAATAAATGTCATTATGGAAACTACTTCCTTAGGTGGGAAGGAAGCAAACTTAGGAGCAAACTATCTTCAGGTAGAGAATTCAGATCAGAAAAATACTATGTATCAGCAATGAAGATAAATACCATGGGCCATGCATTTTCATCCGTGCTTGACTTTATGGGATTAGCTTTATTGGATGAACTCAGAGGAACTTCTCAAAGCTCAGCTGAATTTTATTTTATAGTCAGCAGGGAGTACATAACATGGAAAATTAGTTTCTGAGAAGGGATGCTTCATGAATAAACATAGACACAGAGCTATGAAATGGTTAATACCCATGCTAACTACAATCCAGGACCCTCATTTATGATATGATTCATGAATGCCAAATAGAAGGAAAAAGTTCACTTTTAAAACCATTAGCCCAATGATAAGATCTTTGAGAATCTCATCCAAAGCACCATTCCCTGACTATTGAGAGTTTCTTAATGTTTGTGGGAGATAACCTCTTGACTTTCTTTTTCTGCAATAAGCCTTGTCTGGTGAACCTGGAGTTCGGCGGAAAAAGATAACACCTTCCCTCCTGTGGACTTTGACAAATGACAAGTTCTGAGTCTACCGGAACCACTTTATTCTTATCTAGAGGAATCTAAGAGTCAGCATGTTCTTTTTAGTTAAATCACTCACTTTCTAATTTTTGCTTAACCTTTGACCATAGCATTTTGTTATGTGGCTACAGCTTGAGCAAAGATTGTGGTATTATTAATGAGGTTAAATTTAATAATGATCTGAACCTCATGCAGGTTTGTGAAATTCAAAGGTGATGAGTATATCAGCTATCTTGTGATCCAGGGGCAGGGAAGGCAGTTTTCACATATGAAGCTAATATCCCACAGCTATGTTAGCAGCACATTTAACACAATAGGTAACCAGGGTGGTGGTATGTGACCAAACATGGGCCTTGCAGTTGCACTGACCACTGTTGAGATCCCAATACTGCCTCTTTCTGGTTGTGTTTTCTTTTTGACAAGTTATTCAGTTTTGTTAAATTCCATTTTCTCATTTATTAAAATGGAGCCACAATTCCTATGTCAGAGCTGTTGTATCTGTAAGATAATATATGAAAAAAAAACCTACACATAGCACTTGATAGTTAAGTACTCAGTACATGCTGATTTTCCAACCTCTTGAGACCAAAGGGGCTTGAATTATCAGAAGGTCATAATTATTGTATAATTTCAACTATCCACTGATGCTGGAATATAAACCACAAGAGCAGCAGGTGAATAAAGCTTACATACCC